CTTGCCCACCTGGGCTCACTCTGGCTCATGTTCAAGCAGCATCTCCAGATCCTTTCCCACAGGTCAGTTCTCCAGCCTGGAGCAGTCCATGGGGTTGTTGTGACCAAGAGCCTGGCAGGGGCTGTAGCTGAGTGCACTGATTGTACCCCCAGTCCCACCTTCCCACACCTGCACACCTTTTCTAGGGCATATTCACATTTTCTAGGGCAAGAACAGGGGAAAGGGGATGGCTGGAATTCACCTCTGCCTGTGAATCACCCTGTGCTGGCTTATGGTGGAAAAGATATAAAAAAACCAGACAGCAGATATGTGTGTGAGTGTCCTGTACATCCTTGTGCTCCCACCCCCAAAATCTGTGTGTGTGATTCTCCTTCTGAATTTTCAGCAAAACCCCTCACAGCCCCACTGTCAGCTGTGGGGGGATATAAAGCAGGGTACAGAGCGTGTGTTCCCTAATTCCCCCTTCTCCCACACATCCTCACTGTCTCCATCCTCCAGCCTGCAGTGACAAGGGGGCTTCTGTGCACTGCATGGGGCTGGATGTCCCAAAATAGGCTCGTGCTCCACCTCCTACGTTCTCTTTCAGCTGGGGAATCCTGTTAATGGAGTGTGTTAAAACCCACAGAGAGGCCAGACTGAGTTCAGGCTGGAAGGGGAGGTGAAGCTTTTAAAAATGTTCACTGCTGGCATGGTGTTTCCCTGAGTCATTGAAATTCTGCTGAAATGCTGCACACGGGTCCTTGGATGCATCAGCAGCACCTTCCAACCCTAAAAGCTCCAAGAACATTGTGAAGAATTCAGCTGAAGGAGCTCTGGGCATGCCTCTTGTACCTTTCCAAATGGAGAAAGAGGGAAAAGAGAGGAGACAAGCAAGGAACAGGCCAGGAGCCAGGGGAGGAGGCTCTTCCAGGCTGTTTGGCCCCATTGTTTTAGCAACTGGGACATGATCTGTTTGTTTAACTTATCTTTTGCATTTCTAATGAGCTGCACGAGGTAACCTCACCCTGAAGCCTTGTCCCAGATTTTTCTCCACAGTGGAGAAGAAGAAAGGAATGTTTCATTATGTTGTGGATTGATTTTTAGACACAGATTGTGGGACTCTCACTTTTTATCCCCATTTCCATCAATGCCAGTGTGATTTCAACATCTTTTCTCCTCTGACAAGTTTTTCACCCTTCATGTCATCCTACTCACATTCTCCTTCCTTTTTCTCCTTGTCTGAGATCAAGGAGAAATTTTCCAAATGGGCAAGGGGGCTCTCCAAATGTTCTTTACCTGTCTCATGTATTCTCTCAGATCATGGAATGGTTTGGGTTGGGAGGGAAATTCAAAATCATTTTGTTCCACCTCCTGCTATGGGCAGGGACACCTTCCACTATCCCAGGATGTCCCAGTGTCCAGCCTGGTCTTGGGCACTGCCAGGGATCCAGGGCAGCCACAGCTGCTCTGGCAATTCCAGCCCAGGCAGGAATTCCCAATTCCCAATCTCCCATCCATCCCTGCCCTCTGGCACTGGGAGCCATTCCCTGGCTCCTGTCTCTCCATGCCTTGTCCCCAGTCCCTCTCCAGCTCTCCTGGAGCCCCTTCAGGTCCTGCCGGGGGCTCTGAGCTCTCCCTGGAACCTTCTCCTCTCCAGGATGAAGAATCATAGACTTGAGCACCAGATGTTCCTCACAATCCTCATCATCATCATCATCATCATCACCAAGCTGAACCACAGCACAGAGAGTTGGGATGTGACTATTCTTCCTTGCACACCTATGGGGACACATGGCCTCAAAACCAGTTTATTAAAGGCAAAATTAAGGAAACTCCAGAGCCTGGAGCCCCTCCTGAAGGATTTCTTGTGGCATTCACATTTTCTCAAAAAATCCCTTTGCCCAGGATTTTTCTCCTGGGAAGCTGAGGAGCCTCAGAGGAAAAGGAAAACAATTCTTATCTCATTTGCTTCTCCTGTGTTGTGCTCACACGTAGAATGTGTTTGGAGATTGTTTACCCACAGGTGATTGTTCCATTGCATTCTGCTGTGAGCTGTTTTCACTCTTTGGCCAATTTTGGCCAAGCTGTGTCAAGACTCTGGAAAGAGTCACAAGTTTTCATTATTACATTTTTAGCATTCAGTAAATATCCTTTCTGTATTCTTTAGTATAGTATAGTATTCTTTAATATAATAGAGTATTGAAAAGTAATAAATCAGCCTTCTGCGAACATTGAATCAGGTTCATCATTCCTGCCTGCGGTGGGACACTCCCTGCAAGTACAATATTTCTGATGGATTTCACTTTGATTTTTGGGAGGTCTTGGCTGGGCTGGCCTGGTATGAATGATGTTGGAAGCCCAGACTTCTCTCATTTGAGCTCAAAAATGGATTATTTCCCCATTTTTATTTCTGGCAGCTCTGAGCTCACAGATGTGGAAGAGCTTGAAACTTTCTGGCATGACATGGGATTGGGCTCCATCAGCACAGAGTTACATGAAATGAAAAACAAGACCAGAAGTATAAATTTCATTTACCATCAGAAAGGGAAATTTTCCTTTGAGTGGAATAAATTTGGAAGTCTTAAAGCCAAGTTACCTTGATTTTGAAAAGTCATTTATGGAGCATTGTGAATTTGCATAGAGGTCCCTTCCAACTCAGGATATTCTATCCTAAGATAAAGAATGGTGGATCCTGGGACCCTTTTATAATGAGCCCTTCATAGAAGACTTCAACACATATTTCTATTTCTATTTCTATTTCTATTTCTATTTCTATTTCTATCTATTTCTATTTCTATTTCTATTTCTATTTCTATTTCTATTTCTATTTATATTTATATTTATATTTATATTTATATTTATCTATAGGTATATCTCTATATATCTATAGGTATATCTATATATATTTAGATGTATAATTATATTTTTAGTTATAACTTTATATTTATATTTAGTTATTTATACTTATATTTATATCTAATCTATATGTCTATTTAATTCTGTATTTATAGTAATGGTTATATTTATTTGTATATTTATAGGAATTTATTTTTATTTTTATTTTTATTTTTTATTTTTATTTATCAATGTTTTCTCTCTGCAGAGTTAATACAGCTGGGAATTTCCTGGGAGAGGTAAGGAGGTCCATGGAAAGCTTCTAAGGATCTCCCTTTGTCCAAAAGAAAAAAGTCAAAGTAGTGAGAATGTGTGTAACTGAAAGAGTAATGCACTGCAAATCATCTCTGAATATCCACCAATTTTTTAATGTTACTTTTTAAAAAAAAAGTTTGTACAAGAAATGGACCCTGGAGGGATTTAAAACCCCTGTGGATGTGGCACCTGGGGACAGGGGTGGTGGCCTTGGCAGTGCTGGGGGAATGGTTGGACTCTGTGATCCCAGAGGGCTTTTCCAAACTTAATGATTCCATGACTCTGAACTCATTTTACCACATTCTTCTAATTTTCCTCATTGCAGCATTTTATTTACAAATAAACTGCTCCAAGCAGTGCAATTTTAAGTAGCGAAATATTTACAGTTTGGAAACTCTCTCATGATGGGACCATCTTTTATTTTCCTGCAGTTCCTACACAGAGCACAATGAATGGCACAAGTGCTTGCCAGAGTCCATTAGAAACAGCCTTTACTCATTGATGAATCCTTCATTTCCAAGCCACTTTAAGACCTTTCCATTAGCTATTTTTAAACCATTTGTTATGCACTGACATTGATCTTCTCCATTTTTGCCCCCTCAAATCAGGGTTTTGCACAGCACTGAGCCAACACCACTCCTGATAACAACTGTGCCTGTGATTTTATTAAAGAACAAGATGAGGTTTGTTCTGTGACAGGAACCATTTGCCATGAACACTGCTGATTGCTGCCCCATCACATCCCCACTCTCCATCTCCTTCTCAGCTGCTAAAAACCACTTCATCACAGCAGGAGAGATGCTGGACGAGCCAGCCTGAAACTTTGTGGACTTACCTGAGTCACGCTCTCCAAATATTGACTCATTGCTGTTTTTCTTCTTAGGAAAGCTCTCCTGGGCTGTTCATAAACTCTCACTTTCCCACCTGGTGTGAGAACAGCCATCTGAAGAGCCAGCTCTGCAAATGATGACACACATGTCCTCTAGACTCAAAATGTTAGTTGTGCTTTTGATGTTTTTTTTAAGGTTGCTTGGGTAGGAAGCATTTCATCATCATTATGTAACAGGGACATGGCACTCAACTTTGTCCCAAATACAGGCAGGAAATATTTATCAAACACTTCTGCTTTTGTTTTTGTTCTGTTTTGTTTTGTTTCACAGCTATCCAAATATATTTGGATACACAGAGAGTATTGGTAACTGGACTCTGCTAAAATATTGTTCCTCAAATTAAGCAGAGTTCCAAGAAATCTTTGAGTACAATGTGATAATTTCTGCGCAGGGAGCATTCACTGTGTGGTTGGTTTAGAAGGGATGTTGGTTTAAAAATCCCCTTTGTGAGTGTTTTCCTCTGCTGCCAGACATGTGAGGCTCGTCTGTTTACAAGGTTTTTTTTCCTTGAACACCAGCACTATTGGCACTGCTCTTATGCCAAGGTCAAAGTGCCTTATGCTGGATCTGAAATGTTCTTCCAAAGGCACAGGTCCACATTCCCTTACTCCTATTCCAAGCAGCAGCAGAATATCAGAATATCCCCCTTGCTCCAAAAGACAAGGATTAGGAGGCAGGGAGAGGTCATTCCTGGGATATCAAATCCTGTCTCTCTCAATGCAGCTTTGTTCAATTGTGCAGCCTTTTTCTTCCTTCTTTTTCCCCTTCATTGTTCCAGGGCAGACAAAGGAAAAAAGCAACGATCCCTGACAGGAATATTTACCTTTTGAAGATTTGATCTGGAGAAATCCTGGTGTTAAGGGTTCACCTTTGTGCAGGTGAGGCTCATGGAAAGCCAGGCACAGAGAGATTCCTGGTAAAGGAGCTGGAGATGTGCTGCTGCTGTGGGCTCAGCCATCACTCCAGGCTCCTCCTCACCTCATCCTGGATCTCCAGGGCTGTGGATTTTGTACTTGGAGTAAGGTAGCCTGGCCAACATGACAAAGTTGTTGGGATAAGGGAAGAGTTTCCGACTGTGAGCCTGGAAAATAATATTGCCAGAGAGATGTGGGACATGAATTATTTCTCCCTCCTTTTCTAAAAGAAACGGCCCTGCATTGTCTCCTTGGAAAGAAGGGGACAAAGATGTGAAAGGTAGAAAAGCTTCAATGGGGCTGCACTCAATCTTCCAGCCAAGACCCCCTGAGCATTCTTCTGAGGATTGTTACAGTAAAGTTGGTTGCAAGGCAGGCACAGAGGTGGTTAAAATACCTCTCCCATAAATGGGATTGCAATCCAGATGCATGTGGTATTTTCAGGGTCCCCCCGTGGCAGGAAGGAATGATGAATCTGACTCCAAGTTCTTAGAAGGCTAATTTATTATTTTATGTACTTTAAGAATGCTATACTAAAGTATACTAAAGAATAGAGAAAGAATACTTACAGAAGGCTTAGCAAGATACTAATGAAAAACTCATGATCTCTTCAGAGTCCCAACACAGCTGGACATTGGTCATTAAATAAAAACAATTCCCATGTTGGATAAACAATCTCCAAACACATTCCAAAGCAGCAAAACACAGGAGAAGCAATCAGGTAATTATTGGTTTCCTTTTTCTCTGAGGCTTCTCAGCTTCCCAGGAGAAGAAATCCTGGCGAAGGGAATTTCCAGAAAATATGACCGTGACATGTGCATGTCTGGGGTCACAGAATCCCAGACTGGTTCAGGCTGGAAGGGACCACTGGAAACCACCTGGCCCAAGCCCCCTGCTCAAGCAGGGTCCCCCAGAGCCTCTTGGTCAGGATTGTGTCCAGGTGGCTCCTGGATATCTGCAGTGAGGGAGACTCCAAAACCTTTCTAGGGATCCTGTTCAGTGCTGGGTCACTGCACGATAAAATTCTTCCTCATATTCAGATGGAAATTTTGTGTTCCATTCTCTGGGTGTTGCCTCTTGTCCTGCTGTTCAGCACCACTGAGAAGAGCCTGGCCCATCTCTGGTCCCCTCCTTCAGGTTCTTAAAGCCCTTCAAACCCTTTAAACCCTTCAAACCCTTCAAGCCCAGGTACCTCTTCACTTCTTCTCACAGAGCATTGAGGTGTCCCATGTCCAGGGATGCCAACTCTGTGAGCAGGGTTAGGAGATGCCATCTCACTCCCAGGCTATGTCCCTTCTTTGCAAACTGCTCTTCCAGGAGAGCTTTGTCATCTGTTCTTGGCCCTGGGATTGGGGAGTTGCCAGTGTTAGAGGGGTTGTTATCATTGATTCATTTTCCTTGCTGGAGATGGTGAATAGATGGATGAAAATAATGAAGAAAAGGTGGTTCTGGTGTTTTCAACCAGTTGAAACAGGATGCAGAAATTCCTCAAAGCTTCACTTTCTTCAGGTCTTTCTTTTAGCCAAAGCCCTTAAAATAGACTCTGAGAGTAAATTTATTTCTTTGCATTTTGTCTTTCTTTTTGCTAATTTTATTTTCAGAGGAGATACTGAGAGTTTGGGCACAAAGGGGGTGAATAATTAATTTTGTAGGTCCAAGAACAATAAATGAAGGTGACAGAGATGCTTTTTAGGGACAAAGGGAGAGGTGTTGTGTAACATTCTAGTCAGTGTTGCCTGTGGACTTGAAGGGATCAAGGCTGGAATCAAAGGCTCTCTATTTTCACAGTGCCAACCACTGAGCCAGGAGACAAAGCCCTGAGATCCTCCAGAGGAAACCATCCCAGAGCTTTGGGAAAATGAGAAGCTGGCTCATTTCTGAAGATGCTGAAGTAAAGAGCAAGAGGTCACTGTCATTTCCACACATGTTGCTTGTTGGGCATCTGAAAGGATACAACCCACAGAGCAAGAGCTGGAAGCACCACAAGGGGAAATAAAACCTCTTTTATTCTGCACAAAACCCTCTGTCTGATGAGTGCCTGAGAAGCCAAGAACAAGACATGGTTACAAGTCGTGAAAAGCTCCTGCATGCTGAGATTAAAAAAGGAACAAATGAAAATTCCTCCCTCGTTCCCTTGGAACAGGGCTGGAATACACAGGCACAGGGTGAGGAGGGTTCTGTAGGGGTGTGGGGCTGTGCCAGAGTTCACAGCCATGAGGAAAAATGACATTTTAATGCCCTCAGGGCCAGAGTCACAAGGTCTGGAAGGTCACACAAATGGTTTGTCTCACAGTACACCCCGAAGTGGTGCAGGAGCTGCAGGATCCTGGGAACACTTGGCACTAAAAGTGACTTTGAGGTCACTGTCAGCGTGATCATGTGTGAAATCCCTGCTTTGCTGCCCCTGGTGTGACACTTCCCACTGATTTCAGCAGGGTTAAAAATTCACCTGCTCTCTGGGGTTCATCCTTTCCCTTCCCAAAGGTTTATTATTGCCAATCCCAATGCACTGGATGTATTTCTGGCTCAAACCTGCCATGACTGTTGTGCACAATGAATCATAAGAGATATTCAATGTATTACCCAGCCCTCGTGGCACTCTGTTCTAGGAAAGCATGGTAGCAATGCTCATCATCCCATCCTCCATGGAGGCACTGAATGGGAAGGGAAAGGGAAATGTCTCCCAGCATGAGACCAGCACTGGAAATCCTCACATACAGCCAGGTATCAATTAAATAACAACTGAAATAGCCCCTGATTGAGGAGACATTTAAGGCTGCACGAATCTGCAGAGATGAAGAGGTTGCAGTCTCTGTCTGGGAGGTGTCACCTGACAGCAGGTGAGTGACCCTGCATCATCTGACACTGTCACACCGAGGGAATGTGACTCCTGCTTCAGAGGGGACCTTTGCTGCCTGTGTGCCTCTGTGCAGGAGGGCTGTGCAGCCAAAGCCACCGTGCTGTCATCTGTCCTGAGCTGCTGGACTGGCAGGTGGTGCCTGGGACCACATTCCAGCTATAAATATTTCACTTGTTACATGGGAACGCTTCCATCAAAGCCTCCAACTCCTACAGGACACTCCAGTCTTGCTCTTTGATGAATATTCCAGCTGCTTTGTTCTGCCTCCAGTGCCAATTTATTAATTCTCCTCCCCTGTTAAGAGGTCCCCTCTTTTATGTCATAGCTGGAAGGTGGATTGAGCTGCAGTTTTGAGAGGACTAAAGGCCAAGTGTTCCTTCAGCCAGGCCAGTGGGGCAGGCAGGAGATCTCCTTTCTATTTATAGTGGAAGTTCTATTTTAGCAAGGAGTGAAGAGCCTGGCAAGGAAAGTCAGGAGAGGCAAGCTCCTTCCAGTTAAACATATTTAACTTTCACATTTTTCAAGATCCTATAGGCTGAATTGGGGCAGTCTGTGCTCATATGGTACAGAGAGATCAAAAAGGGAAAAAAAAATAAAAAAGAGAGAGAAAGAACAAATATCTGATGTAGAAAATCCTCCTGTGTAGAAAATATGACTCTGGTAGGAAACCTGACTGTGGTGGAAAACTTCCAAGGGCCTGGATTGTGGAAAAGGTCACTTGAGGAGATTTCCTCCCTGTTTCTTTGCAGAGGCACACAATCATCTCACCATGAAATAAACCTTTTGCTTCCCATCAACTTGCATTCACTTCCATCCACGTACAGTCCCAGAATTTCTCATTTATATAATTAACAGTGACATACAAAGTATTTCCAACTCCTCCTGTCCGAGTGCTGGGGTTGGGGACATGTGTGGCCACTCAGAGGACTCAGTTCCTCCTGTTTTTGTCCCTGAGCTGGCACAAATGCAGTACCCAAAACCTTTCAGAGTATTTTCCCTTCTTCAGTGGGTTGAATTATATCCCAAAGCATCCCCAAGGCTTCCAAGGAAAGGCTGGTTGTTTATTTAAGTCCCAGGTCACAGTAGCCCTGTGCCTGCAGGGCAATAGACGATGTTTGTACAGCAGGATCATTGCCCTGCTCCCCAAAGAGCTGCTTGGTGAGGAAAACAGGCCCCAGCCCTCTCAGATTGGCTCAGAGCAGGTGTGGAATTTCAGGTGGGTGAGGGAGGAGCACGTGTGTGGTGTCACTGTCACTGCACCTGATCCCACACCCTGATCTGAGGCTTTGTTTGTGCCACGGCACTTTTATCCCTGGGTGGTTACCTGGGATTTGTGTTTCAGGAGGGAGGTTCTGGTGACACAGTGCCACATCCAGAGCTGGTGTCAGCACTGCCAGCAGCCTGCTGAGCAGCACCAGCAATGACAGGTTCAGTGAAGTGAACATCCCTATCCAGGTGTAGTGGTTTTGGTCTGTTAATTAGAGATTTTATTAATTTTTTTTTTATTTTCTAGCTAATGTACTAATTAGTGTGGTGAGTTTAGTGTTGGTTAATTATTAGTGTACTCACTTCTTGTTGTGGGATAGGATTAGAAGAAAGGTAAAATAGGTTTAAAATTTTAAAAGGGTATAAAGAAAATTTTATTAACAGTAACTACAAGAAAGAAGTAATAGCAATTAAAACAAACTCTTTAGAACACTTTTTTTTTCTCTATATAAGCTTTTCTTTTTAACTTTTCTTTTTTTCTCTATATAAGCTTTTCTTTTTAACTCTGTCCAACAGAGTTGGACAGTGCTGTGTCCAACTCTGGTGTCCCCAGCACAGGAAGGACACAGAGATCTTGGAGTGAGTCCCCCAAGGAGGACCAAAGGGATGGTGTCACATTCACATTTTCTGAAAAATCCCTTTGCCCAGGATTTTCTCCTGGGAAGCTGAGAAGCCTCAGAGAAAAAGGAAAGCAATCCTTATCTCATTTGCTTCTCCTGTGTTGTGCTCACATGTGGAAAGTGTTTGGAGATTGTTTACCCACAGGTGATTGTTCCATTGCATTCTGCTGTGAGTTGTTTTCACTCTTTGGCCAATCAGGGCCAAGCTGACTTGACCTGATTGGGACTCTGGAAAGTGTCATAAGTTTTCATTATTATCTTTTTAGCATTGTGTAAGTATCCTTTCTTTAGTATAGTTTAGTTTAGTATTCTTTAATATAATATAGTATCATAAAATAATAAATTAGCCTTCTGAGAACATGGAGTCAGATTCATCATTCCTTCCTTCGTCTAGGGGCAACCCAAATACAATAGGATGGAGCACCTCTCCCACAAAGGAAAGGCTGGGAGAACTGGGATTGTTCATCCTGGAGAAAAGAAGGCTCCAGGCAGAGCTCAGAGCCCCTGGCAGGGCCTGAAGGGGCTCCAGGAGAGCTGGAGAGGGACTGGGGACAAGGGATGGAGGGACAGGAGCCAGGGAATGGCTCCCAGTGCCAGAGGGCAGGGATGGATGGGAGATTGGGAATTGGGAATTTCTGGCTGGGAGGGTGGGCAGGCCCTGGCACAGGGTGCCCAGAGCAGCTGTGGCTGCCCATGGATCCCTGGAAGTGTCCCAGGCCAGGCTGGATGAGGGTTGGAGCAACCTGGGACAGTGGAAGGTGTCCCTGCCCATGGTGAGGTTTGGAACAAATGGGCTTTAAGCCCCACCATTGTCAAATTCTGGGATTGCTACTAGTCTTGTGAATTTTTTTTAATTCTCCATCAATTCCATATGCTTCCCTTCTCTCCTTTTTGAAGGCCCAGGCAAAGCCAGCCAAGAATCCACATTTTGCAACTGTTGTAGCTCTTGTAACTGTTTTGGATGCTGGAAAAGGCCCCAGGAAAGAGGCCAAAGCTAGCAAAAATATGTCAGGTTTCAGGGCCGCTGATAAGATGGGGAAAGGATGTGTTTCCCCAGCGGCCAAATCATAAATGACAGTTGAAATCAAGAAGTGATTTCTATTTTTATTCATCTTTACTCTTTACTTTACATTGCTTTCACCAAATCTTTTTGTAGAAGGAAGGGAAGATTGCTCAGCCTGGAGAAGAGAAGGCTCCAGGGAGATCTTAGAGCCTCTTCCAGTGCCTAAAGGGGCTCCAGGAGAGCTGGAGAGGGACTGGGGACAATGGCCTGGAGTGACAGGACACAAGGAATGGCTTCTTACTGCCAGAGGGCAGGGATGGATGGGACATTGGGAAGGAATTCCTGGCTATTGCAAGGACTCTGTGGGGAAAAGGAGGGCTTTTCCATGGATCTGGGCTTTTTTCCATGGATCTGGGCTTTTTTCCATGGATTCTCTGTTAGTTACACAAGGAAACTGCAAACACATTATCCCTCCTCCTTTATTGGTCACTTCATGGCAAACACAGGTGCAAAAAGGTTTGACAATTAATTTTTCCTCATTTTCTTTCTAAAAAGCTCATTTATTTATTTATTTTATCCAAACTAAACACTATGCTTAGGAAAAACATCCCTCTGCCTTGTGACTCTCCCCAAGGGCCATGCTGCCTCCCTTTCCCTCACATCCAGCTTTTCCTCTCTATGTGGCCTGTGGATTGCTCAGCTCATGGATGTCCTGGGGAACAAAAACCATCTCTATGTCTGCTAATCATCAACAAAATAATCCCCACAGCTCTGCTGCTCCTGCTTTTGGGGTGGCCTCATCCCCTGACAAGAAGCTCATCCATTTGGGGCCACTCCATTGGCTCAGTTTGAAACATTTTGCTCCCAGCAGGCAGGAGAACAGGAGACAGGGGAACAGTCACCCCCTGTGCCTGTCATGAATCAGCTGATAGAGCTCAAGTGGAAAGATGCTTTGGCTTGAGGTGGATCTACCAGTGAGCTTCTCTGAGGGTTTGATTCAGTCAGGGCCCTCCAGGAGCTTCTGTGTGCTCTTGCTTTATTTTATTTTATTCAGCTGTTGGTACCTAAGGCACCCTGAAGAGAGAATCACAGAATCCTGGAATTACAGAATCATAGAATCACAGAACCACAGAATGGTTTGGGTTGGAAAGGACCTTAAAAACATTCTCATTCCAACTCCTGCCATGAGCAGGACACCTTCCACTATCCCAGGCTGCTCCAAGCCCTATCCATCCTGGCCTGGAACACTTCCAGGGATGGGAAGGTGACATGGGGGTCTTTTGCCTTCATCCAAGCTTGCTGTGGGTTTCCCTCCACATCCATTGCAAAAGTCAGAGTCGGCCCTTTGCAGCCATTCCCCATCCAGTGCCCTGGAGGCACGAAACTGGTGGAGGAAGGATTGATTGCCCCATGAGCACCCAGCCCTCTCCCTGCTGGAGGAGGGATTGGAAGGATTGCCCCAGCAGCACCCAGCCCACCTCCCACTCCTGGAGGAAGGAGGGCTGCCCTGGGAGCTGGCAGGGACCATCCTTGGAGTCAGGGACCAGAAGGACAGGGAAGTGCAAAGAGCAAACCCCTTGATGCTGTAGAGCAGCACAGATCACC